TTCTATTCTATTCTATTCTATTCTATTCTATTCTATTCTATTCTATTCTATTCTATTCTATTCTAATACATTTTAACCCACTTCATAAGCTAATTTATCAAGATCCCTAAAATGAGCGCTAGATTGCGCGTGCAAATTAAAAGATTGCCTTGCTATTATTAGTGGGTGTGTTGCACACGATGCACAAGATTACCCGCACAAATAAAAACAGGTGCGACAGTGGTGTGGACCATCCTGTTGAAATGAGGATTTTGCAAATGAGCACAGAGATGAGTGTTTGATAATGAGTGGTACAGATTGTATGCATGCAGAGAGGTCATTTACTCTCTTGTTTTCACTCTCTTAAAGAGTTCAAATACAAACAAAATCATGTTAATTGTGAATATTACCAGTGTGCAATTATTGTAAGGCAGGCTGCATTTGGAGAAAGACTTTGAAAGGAAAAAAACAAAAACAAAACTTGACGCAGCTCTGAAGATCAACTCATAAAATTAAAAAAAGATGACAAGAGCTGAGATGAACTTGTTTCACAAACATTCCTAATTTATTTTTACTTTTTAAAGCTGCTAAGCTGCAATGAGATGTTTTATTTATATTAAAGTGATTCATTTTGTTTTTAATTTCACACACTGTGGCGGCGGTGGAGGGGAGAGAGAATAAAAACATCCGAGGCAGAGCACTGCCAGTGTGCACCTGTCTTTCAAATGTGCTAAATATAAGACGCACAAACAGCTACTTCAACCAGTTTCAGGTCTGACGAATCACACCGCGGTGCTCAATGATCACATCTGCATGTCCTCTGCCCAGAGTTTTACATGTGTCACATATTCTGCATATTCATGAAAGCAAACACACCAAACACTAAATGGATTATGGCTGCTTTTTTTTTTTTCATCTGACAAATGCAATATTCGGTGATCACAGTTAATAAATCTTTGCCTGCACTGTCAAGTTTGCGCATCTCAGCTCCTTGTTGCTTTGCTGTACACAAATGCCGCACATTTGTACTTTATAGGATATAAGCTGGCCAACAGGACAAGAAGTAAGGTATATTGTCGACAGATTGCCTGTGTATCATAGGACCAACCAGGGCCATGACTGGACCTAGGACCACCCTCCTTTTGGCAAGGTTTACCCTGTCAAAAACAGCAGATAGACTTTGTCTAAGACAGCAGAAATTTCAGTGTGAAGTTGCCTTTCAATAATACAGTGGAGTATTAGGGCCACACAACAAGATTTTTTTTAAGTAGACCAATTATGGGTCCTAGAAATTTTTATGGTTTGTCTGTGGGCTATCCAGACCATGTTCATTCAATTTAATGCACAAAATAATTCT